TAAAGTTATCTGTTCTCTTTCAAATATTGAAAACGACAGAATACTAGTTAGTTCTATGTCTGAGTTAATCGCAATACAATCAAGTTCTTTGACTTCTTTGAATGAATAATAGAGGGTAGAGAAAGTGTATTACAATCTAATTGAACGATAATACAGCTACAAAGCACAATGTAGGTGATCTCAAAATGGTTTTTTTCATATATTTCATTGAAAATTTAATTGATTTATACTCTCAAAGAGTTACTTTGAGCTCAATTTGATGAGAATTAAGTTTTTGTTAATGTCATTTGGATTCGATATTCTGTCAACTAGACAATATTTTTTATTTATCTTGTTTATCCATAATAACATAAAATTTAAAATCATGTTAGTAGCTAATTAAAAAAAGCTCTTCTTATTTGTACACAATCACAAAAAAAAGGAACACTAAGTCATGAGTTTGTTCTCTATATCATGCATATTTTGTTTAGGCACGTTCATCCAATGAATCAAACCTAAAATTATACAAGAAATTTTACTAGAATGATGAAATATAGAACAAAATTTCGATTTACCAAGGATCCAAAGAACCTAGTAAAGATTTGACAATATAATCACCAAAAGAAAATGGAAAATTTGCCCCACGTGTTCGTTGAATTTCAGCTCGTTCCGAACGATAATCATCAATAACATCCAAATTAGGCATTGATTTATCCCAATTCGATAAATAATTTACAGAATCAAGATCATCTGTACATGCCAAAAATGTAATATAAGTTTGTGGTGTACGTTCATTTCGTAAAACAGCTTCTAATGTACCAATATCTGTTTTACCCTGCTCATTTGTTGGTGCTCTGAAAATAAAACGAAATATGAATTTTAAAAAATCAATTTCAATTATCTAAGCTATACCCATCAGTAGCAATAAGAATTAATAGTTTCTTTTCAAATGTTAAACTACGTTTAGCTGCAAGAATTTTTCGTAATGCTGGTACAAGTGGAGTTAAACCTTTTGGTGGTGAATTAAAGACATGACGCATATTTTGTGGATTGGTTACATTAAGTACAGGATCTCGATTTAAGAAATAAACATCAACACCATTAGAATCCATAATTGCAGCGATATCAACGACAATGTTAACGATCTATGTATAAAAAGAAAATGATATGATAATCGATATCTAATAAATAACGTACAGATTTTAGTTCATCCCATCGTGTTTGATTACTACCTTGAAGTGGTGTATTCATACTACCTGAGTCATCACACAGAACAACAATTTCACAATTACCAAGTATATGTAAACGTGCAGCTATTTGTGAACTAATTTCATATCTTTGAATAACTTGATTTAGTTGTTGTGCACGTTGATCATTTGGCATAATACCACCACTCTGAGGACCCATTGCTGGACCACCAAAACTACCACTTGGTTGACTTCCTGGAAAACCACCTTGTGATGGATGCGGTGGCTGTTGACCTGGATAACCACCACTTTGGGGTGGATAACCACCACTTTGAGGTGGATAGCCACCACTTGGAGAAGGATAGCCACCTGGTCTTGGTTGATAACCTCCGCTCTGTGATGGATAACCGCCGCTTTGTGGTGGATAACCACCACTCTGTGGTGGATAACCGCCACTTTGTGGTGGATAACCACCACTTTGTGGTGGGTAACCGCCGCTTTGTGGTGGATAACCACCACTTTGTGGTGGGTAACCTCCACTTTGTGAAGGAGGATATCCAGCTCCTGTAGTACTGGGATTTTGAGCATATGGATTATTACCATGTGATTGTGTACCAGATGCAGGATAACCACCGGGACCACTACCTCCACCAGACATACCATAGCCACTTTGTGCATAAGGATTTCCTCCTTGAGGATTAGAGCCTTGTGCGTATGGATTACCAGAACTTTGTCCGTATGGGTTGCCAGAGCTGCCGTATCCACCTTGATTACTACCATGTGGTCCTGATATATTTGGTTGATGACCCCTAAAATATGAATAGATAGTTAAGTTTTCATTTATTGTCTTAATCTCTTCAGAAAATAATTTTACGTATTAGTAAAGATGATTGATATATTTTTTTAAGTAATTCTATACTAATATGTTTCGGCTTAATATGAATTATATCACTGATAAAAAACTTTGAAGTGATCTTGATTTCATCAATATTTATGTTTTTTTAAATCGATTAGATTCGTTCTAGTTTTGTCAAAGAATTCTGATTTTTTGGACTTTTGATGTCGTTTCAAAAAAGTATCAAAATAAAAACAACACGTTATTCGTTAAAACTAAAACAAATCAGAACAATTTCAAAAAGTATCTGTAAAATGACTACCCATTGAAATATATGTGGATAAGTAAACTTTTTAAACTAGTTAATACAACTACATTGAAAATTGATTAAACAATATTTTTATTGCATGACAAATGAGTCCTTGTATATGAAATATATAATATGAAAACGTCAAAATGCTGTAAATTAAATATCTATATATAGTAAATGTTAACTGTTACCCTGTTAAACCAGTTCCAATATTGTAAGGTGATGGATTACCAATAGGCGGCTGTTGTGGTCGTTGTGCTCCACCGGCGTTTTGTGGTGGTTGCTGTGGATATGGAGCATTTGATCCTCCGCCTTGGCCGGGATATTGTTGATTAGGATACATTATCGTTTCGTTTTTTTCCTCTCTCTTTTTTTCTTTAGCTGTCGTCAGCAAAAAAGACAGAAGCTTGTAAAAGTAATAAACGGTTGATGCACGTTATAGGTTTATATAACAATGAGGGTAAAAAATGACGAAAGCATAAAACAACGACTCGTCGATTGACGTGCATGCTTCGTTCTTTTTCTGCTGTTTCTCTTCTTTTTTTCTCTTTTTCTGCTGTTTCTCTTCTTTTTTTCTCTTTTTCTTTTTTTGTCTTGTTACTACGACCAACTATTTGTTCTTCTCCTACTTTATTCTTACTAAACTTTCAAGGTTAAAGAGAAAAAAAGAAAAGAAAATATGCTTTCATGATGTCTTATGAATGTGCACGCTTATTCTTGAGGCTAAATATAATTTTTGTAATGGAATGAAATCAAAAATTATTCACCATTACATATTGCTTTTTTTTGGCATTGATAGAGTTTAAAATTATACATTTCTTTTAATTTACATGCATAAAAACAATAGAAAGATAAAAAGCAATATAAAATCATGTTTGCTGTTTTTTTTTCTAATCCAATAGTTAATTATAGTTGGCGCAATTAAAAAGAACATTCAACAAGTTGTTGTAAAAAAAAGATTCTATTTATAGAGGACAGAAAACCAAGATGAATGAACAATGTTCTTGTAATAATCATACTGAAATGTATAAAATAATTGAAAATTATCGTTCAATTCTCAATCGAAAACAACAATATATATCTAGTTGGAAAATTTTTGATAACAATGGAAAAATTAGTTTCATACATGGTAGTAAATTTCGAAAACATACTGATGCACTAGTCATTCGTTCAAATAAGATCTGTCTTATTAATCCATGGTATAAATATATTGATATAAAAAAACAATTTCTCTCAATTTTAAAACAAAATCAATATTATAAAATATTTGAAATTGTTTTACTTGAATGTAATTGTTTAACAAATTTACATAAATATGAAATAGCAATTATGCAATGTCCATGTCTTGAACAATTAAAAACTTACTGTACATATTGTCGATTAATTTTAATCATGACAGTACATTCAAATATTTTATTATCTAATCAATTTTTAAAAAACGTTAGTCAACAAACAAAAATTTCATTTACATTAGATTTTTTGCATGATGAAATTAATATTCATGATCATTTTTGCAGTCAATTAGGACCATATAAATATCAACGTACAGTTCAAATTCAAGTTGAATCAGAACAAGTTCTTCGTGCTATTACGCAATATGAAAGAAGTATATTAACAAAGAAAAAATCCATAAATGCTTTCCATACATTGTTTCTGTCAAAGGCAATTGATGAAGATGCTGATAGTTCTTTAGTAGAACCTCAGGTTTGAAAAAATGCTTTTTATTTGTTGAGATTTCGAGTTTTTTTCAAAGATCAATATAGTTTCATAAAATCTATCAAACTAAGAAAAAAATCGGAAAAACAAATGATGGTACCTATAACTATGGTTCGAACTTCTGGAAAGAGAAGGTCTTTATTATGATCAAGAATTCCCAAAACATGACTCAAGAATATGATACATATATGCCTAGTCAACTTTTTTGTATTGTGAATGAAGTTATGATATGAAAACTTCTGGCCTGAACCTTGAACTTTTTAATTCTAATAAAAAAGTCATTATCCTTAGAACAGAACCATTGTCACGTAAAATACTCATTGAGCACAAACAAAGATATCAGTAATTCTATATTTTATGACAAAATTGATCACATCAGTTACCACGAAAAAACCAAAAATAATTGAACAAAAGAAAAACTAACAAGGAAAGAAAAGAGCTCATAGCTAACAAATAGCAATTTTCTATAACCACTAGACTATGCTTTGATTGGTACAAGTTTCTTCAATGTTCTAATCTAGAAATAAATAAAATACCGATTGATTGTTTTTCATTTTATTCAGAAAATCATATAAAATGTAATGATTCATTTTTATTTGTTTTTACTTTTTAAGCCGATTGTTCTTTTACAAGATGATAATATTAAACAAAATTCATCGCAATCAAATATAGAAAATCGTTCACCGATTAGTTCAATATCTCTTCCTTTTCTTTCACAAAAAAATTTTTCAAAAAGTATTGCACGAAAATTTCATTCAAACATTTCACTATCATCACAACATACAATTGAACTAAATAAAGATTTGTTATTAGAAAAATATATAAGTCAAGGAACACAAACTAAATTGTTTGCTATTCTATTACCACAAAGTCCATTAAGTATAATGAAACACGCTAAAATTGCTGATCAAACATTAGTCAATGTGACACGAGCTTGTCAAGTAAATACACTTTCATATTTAATTAAAACAGATAGCAATCAAATAGAAATACAACATTCATTAGAACATATTTCGAATGTTAAGCAAAGAGTTTTTGAAAATGATATTCAATTAAATCAAGAATTATTATCTAAAGAAAAAACTTCATCAACAGAAACAAAGCATCAAAAGTTAATGAATTATAAAGATCATGAACAAATAGTCGATGTACCTACTATTGAATTCGATCAAGGTGAATTATTTGATGATTTTCAAGAAGAAAAACTTAATTCAACATCAATAAACGAAAAGATTTATTCGAACGAAGAACAACATGAAGGATTCATCATCATGCCATCACCAGTCAAATGTATTAACACTTGTGATACTGTTGATTTAGATGAATCCATTACTCCAGTGACTTCTCTCATTAACAATGACATAAACTTAACTATACATACATCCAATCTCGAACATCCTGATACGCAACTTAAGATCTATAGAAAATTATTCAATAATTCCAATATTCATATAATCAAGTAAGAAAAAAAACCAGTGAAGAAAGAATACTCTAAATGTAAAATAAACAGATTAAATCTTAAGATTATTTATTATTTGCTGAAAAAAATAATAATAATAAATTTCAGATGCTCTACCAATAATAATAACAATGAGCAATTAACATCCATCCAAAGAAATCATTCGTTAGCATCCGTTGGTCATTTATCATCAAATTCTTATCAAACATCAAAATTATTTCGTTTAAAAATAAATTCCTATCGAATATTATATCGAAAAAGACGAGAATATCGAAATAAAACACGTATTTATAATTTTCTTCAACGTCTGTATCGTCGAAAAAAACCAAAGATTTCTCAGTTACATCTCTTTGAACATCATTCTCCATCGTATTCAACATCATCATTTATGATAGCAACTGATCATTGCAAACAATTTGATAATTGTTTATTGACTACTCAAACGAATACAAATAAACACCATACACCATATCATCGACGACAACAATCTATTGTTAATTTACATTTAAATAATTCTGATATGAATTGTCAATATAAAGCATATGATCACATAATAGTAGCTAGAGCATCAAAAAATTCTACAGCTTGTAAACAATTACAAACATTATTGAATAATCATGATACTTTTTTAGAACAACTTATCGATTCACAACTTATATTAACATGTAATGATGATTATAGATCAATTTGTATTCTTATTGATGATCATAAACAATCAGAACAATATCGATCATCATTTCTTCATTATATTTATACAACTTTATCAAAAACTCTTAAAAAAATTTTTGAAAATGATTCAATACAATTAACATGTATGAATTTAGCTTTTTTTAATAATTCTCTATGTGATATTATTAATATGCAACGATTACGTTTAATTGATACAGGTATATTTCAAAAGAAGTTTATTCTCATCGTAATTCTCACTTAACATAGACTGAAAATATTCTAAGAGACTTTTTATTTTGGTGTTTTTCTCGAAAAGAAAGGAGGCAAATGACATATTACGAGTATCGTACAAAGTTAGAGTCAAGATCCAAGCAATTTAATGAATAATCTAACAATAATTAAGAAAAGTAAACTCTAAGTCTAGACTTCAGAACTTTTTAAAAAAAACTACATTTTATAGAGCAAACTTTGCTTTATCAAAGAAGATGTCTCACTCTTTTGTGCTATGTATCAGTTCTCTGTACAACTATTGTATCTTTGATCAAAAATGTCAACAATGATTTTCAGCTATTTTTCATTTGCTCCACATCTTAATATGTTGTAAAGTACTATGTCTGATGAGAAATTCATCGAAAAGAAGCATCAATCATCTCAATTGATAAAAAAAAGTCTACTTTACAAAATGCACTATTATTTAAAGCTCTGAAGGCTATTCATAGAGCTTAGTTAATTATACATAGAATATTAATTAAACTTTCACTAATGATTAAGATTAAATGATTCTAACTAAAATGTAGTTCGTTCAATGCTGTATCTAATGATCTAGTTTTTAAACTTGTCTTTAATTTTTTATAACGATTTTTTTTTCTTGCTCCAACGATTAATTAGATCAAGAATAGATGTTTTTGTTTAGACCTTGACTCTAACTAGATATGGCACCCAAACTATGTCTTCAACCTCTTTCCTCCTTCAAAGAAAACATAGAGATGAAAATTATTTTAAAATTTTGCAGTCGACTTTATTTCTAGGTAGAAAAATAGTTCTTCAACCATCATGTGAAACATCATTAAGAACTCTTGATGATATTAATATAGCCATGAATCGTCTCAGTACAAAAATGTCATTTGCTCATCAAATATTTATCATTAATTTTTATAGTGAACGATCATCTGCATCTGGTTCATTTCTCTTTTTACAATTAGCACCTATTTGTTCTATACAATCAAAAGGTTTACTAACTAATTTAAATTCAACGACTTATTCCGTATTAAATTTAATAAGACAATTAAGTAATGGTCAATTATTCAACCATAATAGAGCAAAACGATATCTTTTGAATGATTATTCATTAAATCGTCTTTTGAAAAATTATCTCTTTTCTCCACAACAAACAATGACTGTTCTTACAATCAAATCTAAAGTACAACAACAATAAAAATAACAAAGAAAAACTTCGAAATAAAATCAAAACATAGAGAAAGAAAATATTCATTATCTTC